ACCATGGTTTCAGAGGAGGAGGAGGAGGAGGAGGAGGGGGACAGACTAGGGAAGCAAGCTGACCTGGTCAACACAATGTTGAAGGTGTCATAGTCCGCAATGTAGGAAGCCAGCTTGGTAACAGAACGTTTGCCCGAACCACCGACACCAACGAGGAGGCAGTGACCACGCGGTGTGCGAATCACTCTGGAGATTTTTACCAAATGGAGCATAGCATCCTTGAAGAAAACAATGTCCAGCGGCGCACCGCGCACATTCTCATTCCTTTGGTCACGATACATCACAAGCCGGGCCCTCAGCACTTCTAGGTCAAAGATCTACAAGAAGAAAGCGTGAAAATCGTTCAGCCAGTTTGTGTGTGTGCGTGTGTGTGTGTGGAAAGACTACGAAAATGAGACAATATTCCAGACAAACCGGTTCATAAATCTTCGGGGCTGACAAATCGGCATCTTCGGCCTCTTCTCCCGTGATTTCTGGGGCATCACTAAGGCGGAAAAGAAAGATTGTGTTGGGATTGGTGCAGAAATGTATCATTTCTTTGCGCCAAGGAAACGAAAAATAGTGTAAACCTTGGCTGGACACCAAAAACTGTCGTTACCTACCGCATAAAGTCCACAAAGTAAACCTCGTCAGTAACATTTTCAACCGCACTTTCATCCAGCATATCCACCAGAGTACGATTGAAGTTCTTCTCGAACCACCCTAAGTCGTCGAAGTTCACAAACCGATCAGCTATAACTCTGGTCATCTCGTGTTTGCACACCTTCATAACCAGTCCTTCGGACTGAAAGACCTGTTTACAGTGAAGTAAAAGAAAGATGATGGTAAGAATGGGAATGTTTGTTGTGAGATGTTTTGTGAATTTCGTTCAGATGCATCAAAAAAACTCAAATACCCGCAAAACTGTTTTTTTCCATTGAAGAAGGTATTTAGTACAGCGTTACGCCGTTAAGGAAGTTTCGCTTTGATTAAAAGATCCCTGCCTGAAAACATTCGTTAACACGTAAGACTACTACACCCCGGCGCGGTCTTCACCCTTTAGCTTGAACAGTCGCTAGACAACAAAAGTTGCGAACAGATTGCTAGCTCTAGTCGTTCGTGCCTTTGTGGTAGTCTGGATCAGTGTCACTATCACTGACTCATATTTTCTTAGCCTACCAAGCCTCGTGACAATCCCCCTGCGCATTTA